TTGGGGGGGGGAGGGAGTTAACTTTTTCTGCACCAGACCAAGTAGCACTTGTCTAAGATGAGTTCTGTTTCCTGGTCTTTTACAAACACACTTGGTTTTAGCTGCTGAGCAGAGAGAGTGAAAATAGCTTGAACTGTCTAAATCTGTGCACTAGCTATTGATTTCTGTAGGTTGTTTGCCCTAAAAGCCAATATTGGGGTTGTCTTAAAAAAGACTTAAGTTTATATACAGATTTATAATATACTGTATGCTGTTCATGCAAACGGTTAACATATCAGTGCAAAACCTTATTGCCTAGCATTGGAGTTCCCTGTTTAAAATCTTGGCATAAAACAATTCTAATCCTGTAGATTTTGTTGGGTCTAAACAGATGCAAAACAGAAACTTCTTATCCATAGCCAAGGAAAAGCACATACGTGCATACATCCCCATCATATTATGAAATGTCTGGTATTCAAACCTCCTTTAAGAATGTGTGGAGATGAGACACCTTGGGATTTTTTGTACTATGTGGAAATTTCAGAATATACCAAGCAATAGATTACAAGCTACTTTAGTGGCCCTGATATAGCTAGGACCAAAAGATTAAGTGTTGAAGTCAGGGGTAATACTTACAATTCCAAAGCTAGGTGAACTGATGCATGTTTTTTTTCCAAGGAGGATAGGATAAATAGTGTATTAGCAACTAGACATGGATGTCGTTGATGGAGGTTGCTGTATAGTTAAGCAACCTACTACTTCTGGTGAAGTAAAATAGTGTAACAAAAAGGAAGACCGAATTGTGAAAGAAATACGATAATGCTGGCTGTGAATGGAATGTATCAGGGAGATGGCTTGACTAAGTGTGTTAACTGCAAACCATCACTACTCATGTGAAGAAAGTAGTGCTAGTCAAGCTCTTTTAATTTATCTAGTTTTACTTGCTTCCTGTTCTGTAAAGAATCTGCTTGGCAGTTCAAGCTAATTTCTCACACTATAATAGCCTTATTTAATTTTAAATTTTTGATCTTCTTTTTTTCCCCCACTGTTGTTTCTTCAGCTATGCATATGTGGCTGATGATGTTTGGGATGAGGACCTCCTCAGAGTTTGTTTTTCGTTGTGTGATGTTGAGACAATATATATTGTGATTCCAAACAAATTTTCTATTTGACAAAGCCTGAGCCTGGCTTTAGATGATTTTTCTGTATCATATTGTTCTCTTATAAATATATATTTAGGGAATTCTGCACACTTCCAAATACAGAGGGGTAGACTTTCACTGCCTTAGAAAAGAAATCACTTTTAATAAGAGTTGTATGATAAATAAATGCAAGTTAATGAAATTGGAGTGTAAATATTTTTTACATATTTCAGGTTTCTTATTTGAAAGTGTGCTTTTACCAGTTCACCTGTTAAATATGAAGTAGAAGAATAAACTCCTTCAAAGTGTCAATGAAGGATTTGCATGCTTGCTATGTCTGTTAATCAGGAAAGCAAGCCTCTCCCAATTTATCTCGAGAACACTAGCAGCCTTACAGTGACAAAATACTTTTTCCTTCAGGGAAAAAAAAATCCTTTATGCTGTGGCTGAAATACTGTTGCTGCTAGACTCTGAAAAAGGCTTAGCAAAAATTATATATAACCTTCAGTTGAGTGGATTTGGCCGCTATTGGGCATTCGGGTCAAGTGTGAATATGTGTAAAAGTGCTTTTCATATTTGTCTGTGCATTATTATGGAAAAACATCAAAACTGCTGTAGTTTCCCATTTCTACTGTATTTCACTTGCAACCTATTTTTAATAAACTTTGTATTGTATTTAACTTGCAATTTTTCTATAGCTTTTTGGCTTTTGTTTGTTTTTAACTTAAATCTACACTTGCATTGTTTTTTCCCTTCCTTTAAAATGTTTATTATTACATACTTGCCTTATAAGTACTCAAGGAAAATATATAGCTGGTAAAATATATTTATATATGAAATTCAGCACTGCCCAGATTAATTGGAATAAAGCTTGATTAGCTGATCTCAACGGAATTTTAAATGAGGTATCATCCCATGCCAGCTTTACTTGTAGAGGAGTCCCACACAGATCTATCTGTGCTTGGCCGAGTGCTATTCTTTTTCTATCGGCAATCTGGAAGACTAAATAAAATTTGGCCTTGACAAATTGGTGCAATTTTAAATAATGTTATTCAGTCTGACCTGGATTGTTTGATACAGGTATTTGAATGACATGTTTTTAATACAAACCAACTTATTCATGCATATATGAACAAAGAAGGTAGGCTGTGCATAAGGACCTACCTAAATCATAGTGGAAGTTTGAAGTGCCTTTAATCTCTCTCTTTTTGCCATGTGCCCTCCCCTCTTTGCTGAGTGGCTGAGATGCAGTTTATGCCATGGTTTTTGCCCCTCAGCCATGCAGTGGGAGGGCAGGGGACATGCATTGAAAAAAGCAAAATTAAAGATGCCACCGTGCCACAAACTTCAACTGTGATTTAGGTAGGTCTCTAGCTGTGTGAGATGGAAGATGGTGTCCTAGAATGCTGAGACCTTGAAAATGGATTAGTGGTAGATTTTCTCCTACAGCGGTCTCACATTATCCTTGAATGTATAAGCATGAGAGTATGAAGTTTAGGGCTGGGAGAATTCTTTCTGTTGGACGATTTACCCCAAACTGTAGCTTCTGCTGGGGAGTGCGCAGGGGGGCCCCTGTACCCACGTCCTAGCTTGGTGACAGGTGCTTCCTGGGTTTGGGGGGCACCCGGGGTCCCCCTGCAGCCGATTGCTGAGCCAGGGAGTGCGGGGGGGGGGGGGG